TAGATTTGTTGGATATTTTGTATTGTTTAAGGATATTTAGTATTTAGAATGATAAATGCATGATAGTTCTTGAAAATATTTATCTTTTTGTCTATACTATTTATTTTTAAAAAATATCCTTTGTGTTCGCCTCGCCTCGCCTCGTTGCCTCGCGCTTAGTCGTTAGTGACCTTGTCGCCTCAGTTCGCTTTTCGCCTTAAAAAATACTAGGTTAGCCCTTTGGCATCACCAGGCCGCAGAGGCATGGGCGAACCCATCTTCAGGGAGTCATCATTGCCTGGGAAAGGCTTTCACGGGGGTCAGCCCTTTGGCGCGACCAAGTCGTAGAGGAGAAAGGAGCTCTCTGGGAGCTAGCCCTTTGGCATCACCAGACCGCAAAGGCAAAGTGATGAACGCTCTCCAAGGGTTAGCCCTTTGTTACCAGGCTGGAGGCATGGGATGTCCCATCTTCGAGAGGGTCATCATCGTCTTGGGTAAAGCTCTCCGAGGGTTAGCCCTTTGGCGTCACCAGGCCGCGGGGGCATGGGCGGACCTATCTTTGGGAGGATTGTCATCGTCCCAGAATAATGATACGTGTATGAAGCCTGCTGGCGAAGTAATTGTCTCTAATTGATCTTATCTCCTCAAAGGAGCTGTATCCTTTGCGAGGGATGAATTGCTTGACGTTGAATTTGCCTCATGGGCTCAAGGGATTTGCCGCTTCTGAGAACTTCACAATGTTAGTGACTTGGGCGTCTTCTCTCCTTGAATGAGGTCTACATTGGGCTCAAGGGTCTCCAAAAAGGCTTGCCTCATTGACTTAGGCTCTAATTTGGATTAATGGGCTTCTGAGAAAATTGCCTTGCTCGTGGGCTTTAGGTCTCTCAAGGAGTTTGCAACTCTCTCCAGGAAACTCCTGAAGAATTTGTGGATCTCTGAGGACTTCGCATTTGTGGGAAACTCTCTGAGACTTTGACGATTTTTGGCAAGAAATTTGGATTTCAAATTTTGGATAACCTCCTCCCACATTTATACATAGTGCCTTTCCAAAATTTTAGAAGGGCTAGGACCCCTTCCAAACCCTCCCTCCCAATGCCCCTGTATACAACCAACATAGGCAACATACCAGGGATGGATTGAAAAGGGAATGGCAGGGTGCCACCCTTGATACATTTAAATTACATAGATTCATATCTCTAAGATATTTTTGAGAAATTTCCTATCCCCTAACAACTCCCCACTATAGTATGCTATATTTTTTTGGACAAAAAAGCCCTTATAGGACTCTTAGTGGTTGAAATCAAGACCACATATTACAGTCAAGTTTTAATATTAGAATGAATTTCAAAACTTAAAAAATTAGGAAAATTACAAAAAAAAAAAAACCAGGGTATGGCATTTTTTCACATTAAACCCCAACATTTTAATTTTAACAATTTAAACCCTGAATTTTTAACCGTGTCCCAATGTTGACCCTCCATCTATTTCCGTTTGTTTCAGTTAAACTTTTTACGCTTATTTGATACATGTGTCACTTTTTGATTGTCCATAATTATTATAATTATTTTATTTCTAAATTACCTTTTTTTTCTATCAACTCTCTCTCTCTCTCTCTCTCTTCCAGGATGAACGATCGCCGACCTTTGGATGTCCCATCGCCGACCTTTGCGCCGTTCACTGACCTCCGTCCACACCGCCCCTGCGCTACCACAACATCTTCCACGCCTCTCTCTCTCTCTCTCAACTCTCAATCGCCTTTTTCCTCACATCCATATCAGAGCTCTCTAATCAAGCTGGTTCGCCGGAGTGGCTAGGCAAGCCGAAGTGAGAAAGCAAGGAAGAAAAGTAGCCGGAGAAAAGCACTACCAAAACCCTTTCCTTCTTCGCCAAAACCCTAAGACCCCATAATCCCTTTCCTTCTTCCACAAAACCCTAAGACCTAAGACCCCATAATCGTTTGATCATCTAATTTGGAATTGGAGGAAGAGCTCTTTCGGCCCTTGAGGTGGTAGAGATAATTGTAGGGAATCGGAGCTATGGGCGGTGGTTGAGAAATGCACGGCAAAAGAGGGACGGAATTGCCTATGCGTCTAGCATCTCTGATGATGGGATTGTGGAGGTTGATGGTTTGTCCGCCACCTCCGCCACTGCTGAGATGAATGGTGGGGGACAGCGATGATGAGAATAAGAGAGAGAGAGAGAGAGAGAGAGAGAGAGAGAGAGTGTGGGACTTACATGGAGTTGCAAGTGGCCGTGCGAGGTGGCAATCAATAGTGGGGACCGACGAATGGCGGCAACGGCGACAACTGAAAAGAGAGAGAGAGAGAGAGCTGATAGAAAAAAAAAATGAGACTGATCACAGAGTGAAGAGAAGACAGGGTGGGAAGAGGAGACATGGTTATCAGAATCCCGATCTGGATCTTACGATCCTACGATCTTACGATCCATTTGAATACAATCGATCCGGATCATGTAAAAAACTCCTTATAGGTAGGATCTTTCGATCCTGGTAGTGGGATCTTATAGGATCGTGGAATCCCGATCCGAATCCGATCCTGTCCGATCCAATTTCAAGCCTTGTTTTGTATTGTATGATATATTTTGTTGTAAATTTTATATTTGTCGTCTAAATATCAATTTATGTTGTCAAAATAAATAATAAAAATTAAGTAGTATTGAATCAAATAGACTAAGAAAAACAAACTAGGAAACAAGCATTTAAATATTGCGGTAATTTAAGAAAATTAAATAGTCGGAAAAACAAACTTAGCTTTAGCGGAGTCAAAAGGGTAAAATGATTGCAATTTTATCCCAATTTTTGAAGAGATTATTTTTGTGACTTGAATCCGCTCCACCAGGGATGCTAACGACAAACCTTATCATTCGGTTAAGGTATTCTTTTGAGTTTTTAATATATTTTCATATCCAACTTTGTTAAATATTTTTTCTTCACTTTTTATGCATTATTATACATTGTAAAGTATTTTGTTATAGAATTCTTCTTCTTCTTCACCTTCTTTTTTGATAAAATACAAAACTTTTACCATTGAGTTTTCTATTGCATAATATTATATGTACATTTTACATGGAGTATTATATTTTTCACAATATCTTCACTTCTTTTTAATAAAATATAGGTTCATTTTGTGTATACTTTATAAGAAATATTTATTTAAATTAAATTATTATGTAATTTGTCTTTTTCGGTAGGATCTTACGATCCTCGATCCGATCGCCGACCTTTGGATGCCCCATTGCCGACCTCTGCCCGTTCACCGACCTTTGCGCCGTTCACCGACCTCCGTCCACACCGCCCCTACGCTACCACAACATCTTCCACACCTCTCTCTCTCTCTCTCAACTCTCAATCGCCTTTTTCCTCACATCCAAGGCAAGCCGAAGTGAGAAAGCAAGGGAGAAAAGCAGCCGGAGAAAAGCACTACTAAAACCCTTTCCTTCTTCGCCAAAACCCTAAGACCCCATAATCCCTTTCCTTCTTCCACAAAACCCTAAGACCTAAGACCCCATAATCGTTTGATCATCTAATTTGGAATTGGAGGAAGAGCTCTTTCGGCCCTTCAGGTGGTAGAGATAATTGTAGGGAATCGGAGCTATGGGCGGTGGTTGAGAAATGCACGGCAGAAGAGGGACGGAATTGCCTATGCGTCTGGCATCTCTGATGATGGGATTGTGGCAATCGATGGTTCGTCCGCCGCCTCCGCCACTGCTGAGATGAATGGTGGGGGACAGCAATGATGAGAGAGAGAGAGAGAGAGAGAGAGTGGGACTTACGTGGAGTTGCAGGTGGCCGTGCGAGGTGGCGATCAATAGTGGGGATCGACGAATGGCGGCAACGGCGACAACTGAAAAGAGAAAGAGAGAGAGAGCTGATAGAAAAAAAAAATGAGACTGATTGATCACAGAGGGAAGAGAAGACAGGGTGGGAAGAGGAGAGTGAGGAGAGAGTATTGGAATAATTTTGGAATAAAATAACTATAATAATTATGGACGAATCAAAAAGTGACGTGTATCAAATAAGTGTAAAAAGTCAACAAAAACAAACGGAAACAGACGGAGGGTCAACATTGAGACACGGTTAAAAATTCAGGGTTTAAATTGTTAAAATTAAAATGTTGGGGTTTAATGTGAAAAACATGCCAAACCCTGAGATCTTTTTTGTAATTTTCCCTAAAAAATTTAAGAACTTTTTATCTAGATCTTTGTTTTTCATAAAAATATAAAACAAGACCTATAATGAATATAAAATTCTAAAGAAAAAATTGTCAAAATTTTCACAGTTTGCTATCCTCAAATAATAAAATTTCACTGACTAAAATTCAATGAAATTTCACTGAATATAAATCAGTAAAATTTCACCAAATTCAATGAAATTTCAATCTTCTTAAAAAGTTTCTCTTTTTGAGAGAGAAATTTTCAATCAAGGGTTAGAATGGCAAAATTGAAGGCTAATTCAAAAAATTATGTACTTATTTTTATAGCGTTGTTTGATATATTGAGTGCTTTAAATCATAACATTGTTTGATTATTTGCACAAATTTTTTCCCATTATCTATGACATCTGCAAGGGTAAAGATTGCAACAAAAAACTTTATTCAAGATCTTTGGAAGCTTGTTGCATAAACTAATCGAGTCAGAGGTGGATAATTTCATTGCCTTCAACTTAGGATAATAGATTCTATTTCATTCTTCGCTTGGTGGAAGTGGAACCCGCTAATGTATGTTAATTCATTTTGATGGATTTACAAGATATGTTAAGCATGTATATATATTCCTTTGTGTGTACATATGTGTATATATATATAGATATATATCGAATGAGAGAAGTAACAAGAGATGAGAAGATTTACCTCCATGAAGATCTATTTCTAAAGATGGTGCATATAGTTCTTCAATCACAATTCAATCATATACATTGTTGATGATATAGGCAAATTAGGAAGAAAAAACAGAAGCGTCGAATGTTTTCCTATTTTCTATAGGTGTAAAGTAAGCATATTCACCTCAATTTTAAGTATCCTCAATAAAGGAGACGCCCTTAGCAAGTATGCACAAAGGAGCCTAGAGACACCAGGATTGAGCATCAATTCCAACTGCCTGAGATTCCTTAACTTGGGAAATCTAGGGAAGCATCTCAACTTCTAAACAATTCAACCAAAAGTCAAGACAACAAATATTAATAAGCTTAACATTTTTTAGACCAAAAAAAAAAAAGAAGAAGAAGAAGAAGAAGATGATGATGATAAAAGAAAAAAATAAATGAGACACCTACAAACACATGGAATCACATGCTAACCTTAAGTCCCCAACTCAAGTTCAATACAAGTGTCTCTAGTTGAAGGAGATAGCTTGAAACCTGTATAAAGTTCTTAACAAAATTGCAAGCATAAGGCCCATCAAAAGATGCCTTAACAAGATGCAGTGTGTTTTTAAACGCAATGTAGGTCTTTAGTCCGCTGTATTTAAACGACACTAGATTTGCATCATAAATATCAACACTTTTCAAACAGAAGCAACCTTCGATCTTTAAGTACTTTAGCTTGAATAAAGGCCCAGAAACTGCAAAATTTACCAAAGATCGTGAATGCAATATAGATAACTCTTCAAGCAATGGGCAAACGAACAAAATGTATTCCAAAACTTCCCTTGTCACATCTACATGGCACAGATAGAGGCTCGTTAGGGAATCAAGTCTGTGATAATGAAGAATATGAGCAGTAAGAGGGTAATTTCAATTCCCATTTGTCCAGGTACATCTAAAGTTGAACTTGAGCATTTTAACTCTCTTTTGAAAGGCAAAGTTGATCCAACCATCAATATCACTTTTAAAGATTTTATCATCCAAACAAAATTGAATGCTGAATTCATCAATAATCGTACCACGATGAAACTTCAAGATATGATTAACCCAATCAACAAATTGCCTGCATTTAAGACCAAATAACTTATCTTCATGATCCACTATCTGCCAATCGCAAAATTTGAATATCAAACTACTAGTGAATGTCCACAAATATCTCCATTTGTGAGATAGGGCTCTAGTTCTTGCTGCTTGTTCAATTTCCAACTGAGACAAAATGGAAACAAGAATTCCATCCGGCAAGTTACTAATTAGGTTGTCCTTTAGGCAGATGCTTGTCCAACCACACCAACAACAGTTCCAAAAAGAAAAGAAAAGAAAAAATTACAATTTAACACAAGTTAGCAATAAACTACACAAATTTGTTACTTTTTTTTACATAATTTGTTCTAACAACTTAAAGGATGGTAATGGTGTATAAAGGGGCTGTTTGGTGCAGCTTCTACCTTTTTTTATTTGGAAATTTGTGCCAATGTTTGATGTAACTTTTGCTTACAATATTTTAGGCAAAATAACTTAAATAAATTGGAAAAAAAATTTAAAAAAAAATAAAAAAATAAAAAATAAACTAATTATTGAGGTGTTTTAAGTTTCTGCTTCTAATTATCAACTTTCATCTTGCTAGAAGTTGCAGCAAACAAGCTCGAATTCTAGTAACATTGTATAAATCCAAACTTGAACAACTTCATATGGGTAAATTTTATTAGAGTTAATTATACTTTATCCCCTCGTGGATTGTTCCTAAAACACTTACCCCTTGAGATTTAAAATGTACACAACTCCATTGTGGATTGGATTAAAGTGCTCAGCCCAAATCCTTTAATGATTTTCACAAAAAGTCAAAATTACGTTTATTTTTTCCTCTAATTTTCTTCTTTATGCCAGTGCACGACAGTCTCTCCTCTATCTCTCTCTAGAAATTGTACCACATCACAACCCTTCCCAAACCCACTTATTTTTAAAAAATAAAAATGATTCAAGTGTCATACACATAACAATTTGCAGATAAAAGGTTTAGAGAGACAGATCAAGCATCAAAGAACAACAGGTTGAGCTTATACAATTTTATTATATATAATCGGGTGCTTCTAAAAACTACTGTTAGTTTTGCATTTTACTCCAAATCACAAAAATTATGTTCATATTTTTTAAGGAGGTAAAATGTAATCAAACAGGATCAATGACTTAAGTAACTAAAGGATAAAAGTACCTCCATCTTCTCCCGTATCGCGGTGGTCCGGCTCAGATCGCGGTAGTTTGATCGCGGTGGTCCGGCTCAGATCGCGGTGCTTCACGTTCCCGTCCGCCAGCGACGCTACCTACGCCGGAGACCTGACGGACGACGGCCCAGACACTTCGCCGTCAGTGGTGTGTTTGTGTATTTGTGTTTGATTCATACTCGAATGGAAACCCTAGAGATATGTTTTGGTAATCTATAATTTAAAATTTTAGGGCCTCTAACTACAACAGGAAATTTTTTGGCTGTGTTTGGTGTAGGTCTGAAATCTTAATGTTGGAGTTATTTTTAACACATTATTTGGTTCAAGACTTTTAAAATTGATTTCAAGCAACATTTTGAAACTCATATGAAAATCTGTTTGGCAGCGTAGTAAGTTTTTTAATTTTGAAAAGAAGTTTTTTAATTTTGAAAAGAATGATTTTAATCTATTCGGTCATCCTCTCGGACATATCCAAATGGTTGGCTGGTCGTTCAGTCGGTTAATTGGAACTATTTTTTTTTTTTTGTGGCAATAGCGCTTGTTATTTGGGAAAAAAATAAAAATTTGTTTTTGATTTTTTTAACAAAAATAATATTTTTTTATATTTTAAATCAAAAATATTTTTAAAAAAATAATTCGAACCAAATATATAATAAAAGTTATTTTAAATCAGTAATTGAATATTTATTTTGAAAAAAAAATTATTCCTTTGTAATATTTTCAATTAAAAAAATTGATTAATGTTATTTTTTTTAATAAATAATTTTTTTAATTGAATTTTAAAAAGAGTTTGGTTATGAATATTGATAAAAATTTTCAATAGAGTTTTTAGTAGTGTGTTTAGTTATGATTTATAACAATTTAAATTAAGTTTTGAAAATTCTTTCTAAAACTCCTAACTAAACAAATTTTCTTATTTCTTATTTCACATGTCATATCAAATATTCAAAACTCAATTTAATACTCAACTCAAAACTCAATTTAAAACTTTTTTCAAAACTTATAACCAAACAAATTTTCTACACTCTAATCATAATTCTAAAACCCATAAACTCAATATATAACTTTATTCTCAAATCATATTTAAAAAATTTTATCAAATACTACATTTATTTATGTCTCAAAACTCTTACACAAATATGTAGAGCGACTTTTTCCCAATTTTCCCATAAAAGATCCTTCCAGATTTGCCTAAATCTCATGTTTTACAAAAATTTAGAAGGAAAAATTAAGAGAGCTCGAAAGTACTAAATTAAAATTTTTTTATTTTATGATTTTTTTAACATTAAGAAATACACGTGTGATAAAATTATTGGTTCATCTAGCCCATTTAATTTAAAATTTACAAAAATTTAGAAGGAAAAATTAAGAGAGCTCGAAAGTACTAATTTTATGATTTCTTTTAAGATTAAGAAATACATGTGTGATAAAATTATTGGTTCATCTAGCCCATTTAATTTAAAATTTAAAAAATATTTATATGGAAAGTAGAAAATTTCTAAATTTATAATTTTTTTTATAAAAAAAAAAAATCAAAGTTGAATTTTAATAATGTTACGGAACATTTAGTGGGTCATCTTTCCACATTTAATTTAAAATTTTGAAAATCTTTATAGGAAAAGTCCAAAAGAAAATTGTAATCATATCTATACCATATCAAATTTAAAATTTAAAATTTAAAATTTTTTAATTTATAAGTCTAAATGAAATTTTATTCATATTTAATTAAAAATTATTTATTATATCTATATATCTCTCTATATTATTAGCGCAATTCAAAATATTAATTTAAAGGGATTTTTTTTTAAGATCCCTGGTATTATGATTTTATAGCATAAAGGACACTCAATATTTTCATAATGTCTAAGGTCCCTCAACATCAATCCAGAGAAAATTCAATCCAGAGAAAATTCAATCTAGAGAAAATTGGATCCAGAGAATTTCTCTGGACACATTACAGAGAAAATTCCAAATTTCTTTGATTTTTTGTGAATTTCTCTAGACTAGAAGGGAATTTTCACTAACTTTTTGTGAATTTCTCTGGGTTGGAAGGTAATTTCTCTGGACTGAGAGAATTTCTATGAGGCAGTTTATCAAATCAATAAAACAGCAGATTCAACTCTACATATTTTGTCATAGAGAAAATCTCAAAAGAGAAATTCCGGGAAGAATTTCTCTGGATTTTTTAGAGAAATTTTGAAAATTTCTCTAACCTTCCCCTAACCTTCCCACTCTCCAGAGAAATTTGGCATTCCCTCTCTCTAGAGAAATTCCCCTTCTATAAATTTCACTGAGTGTACCAAACAAATAAAACAAACAAACAAACAAACAGTATAAATACATACATATGACTTCACCAATTTACTCAGTTAAAAGCAGAGAAAACTAAACAAATTTCTCTGAGTTTGTTTTATTGAAATTTCATTGAGTTGTCTCAGTGAATTTCACTAAGTGTACCAAACAAACAAACAGTATCAATACATACATATGACTTCACCAATTTTACTCACTTAAAGACAGAGAAAATTAAACAAATTTCTCTGAGTTTGTTTTATTGAAATTTCACTAAGCGTATCAAACAAACAAACAGTATCAATACATATATGTATATATACATATGACTTCACCAATTTTACTTAGTTAAAGGCAAAAAAAATTAAACAAATTTCTCTGAGTTAATTTTTTAAAAATTTCACTGAGTTGTCTCAGTAAATTTTACTGAGTGTACCAAACAAACAAAAACACAACACAAACAGTATAGTATACGCATACATACATACATATGACTTCACCACTGATTTAACAGACTCACCACAGGGATTCCGAGAAGCATTTGTTGGTATTGGTGGACCTGCTGGACTTTGGCACTACATGTATCGTATTGTATACCTGGACCAGTATGTTTCTTCTGAGTTCTCATCACCAATCAACAGTTGACGACAGCAGAAAAGGTAACACTGGTAAATTCTGTAGCAGTCTAAGTAGACATGTCATGTGCTATCTTGAATTGGGAAGGTAGTTTCTGCTATGTTGCTGTCAGAAAGCTCTAGTCTTTATTTGATCTAACACCACCGTCGATCTCTTTCTCTCTTTGTTGGCTACCTGCAAATCTGTGTTTCTCTCTCTAGAAACAACGATGAAGACCAGTAGGAAACGGACGACAACGCTGAAGAGTCGTTGAAGCAAAGGTCCACTCCTTCCTCAATACCAACAGCCACCAAAGATGCACTTGAACTACTAACCGGGACTGCTTGAGCCACTTCTGACCGAGGAACCTCGAATCGCCCGCCCTTGGTTGGAGCAACCTCAGTAAAAAACTCTCCAAGCTGAAGTTCTGTCTACCCTCCTACAGCTTAAATGTCGTTGGATGGCTCCACCTTGACCTTGGCTGCCTCAAATAGGACCTGAGGTGGCTCCGTTAGTTCTTTGATAGCCTGGTTGCCACCGGGCAGATCTACGTTGGCTTATACTGCCTCGGGCACATCATGTTCTGATCTAGGCAGCTCAACCGATGGTTCGCCTCTAAAATTATTAGGGATTTGGAAGCCCTAATACAAACATTTAGAGGAAGAAAGAGATGTAGAAACGAGTGAGAGAGAGAGAGGAGAAGATATGAATTTAACAGAGGAAGAGAGTTTAGAGAGAGAGAGAGAGAATGAGGTTTGATTTGAGAAATTTCTCTGTAATACATGAGTGTGGGGGTTGAGGGACCTTAGACATCATAAAATAATATTGTGGATTTCTTCCATTACTAAATATGAAAGAGGGACCTTAGACTAATTTTCCCTAATTTAAATTATTAGTTTTTTTATTTTTAAAAATTTAATATATATTGGCTCATCTAAATCATATCTAATTTGAAATTTTAAAAATATTTAGATGAAAAGTTCAAAATATTTAAGCCAAATCTAATCTAAAAATTTTAAATAGAATTTTGAAAATGCTATGGAACTTTTTTGCACATCCTTACACTTTACTTTCAACTATTTGAATAAAAAAAATATATATAAATTTTAATTTTTTAAGAGATGTAGCATAATCTTATTAGAAAAACTATTTGATTACGTGTAAAAAATTTTAAAATAAAAATATTTTTATCGATAAAGTTATGCCATAAATATTTATAATGTATCATGTTCATTTTTTATCGATAAAGTTATATGTATGTCATACATATTTAGAATTCATGAGTTAATTTTTTTAATTAATTGATTTTTAAATTTATGACTTAATTGGTTTGAATTTGTGGTATCATACTATTCAAACTTTAATTAATCTCATTAGCAAAAGTCTTTCTATTTTCTTAGAATTCTCTGATTGGTTGTTGAGAGTTTCATTGGTCTAGGTTAGTTTAACTGGATATCTTTATATATTCATATTCAAATTATTATTTACTAAATTTGATATTTTAAATTGAAGTGGATCATAATTTGTCAAATTGACGAAAATGGGTTAGAAAGAGATGAAAGTTGATGAACCATTATGAGATACAAAGAGGTTAGTTTCTAATTGTTGAACCATTTGACGATGCCTTTTTTTTTTTTTTATAGAAAGAAATAGAGCCTTAATTTCTATGTTGTTTAATTTGTATATAAATATTCACTCAGTTTGTTATCATGCCATGTATATGACACAAAACAATATTCATTCAGTTTCATTTAATATTCCCTCAGTTTGTTATCTTTTCTGTTCATACATGTTTAGAAATGTAGGATTAGGTGAAATATAAGTTACACTATGGACTACGAGATTTGTCATGTCCTCAAAAAATAAGAATTTTTTTAAGTAAACACAATGCTTAATAGGCTCACATTAGCCAGTCTGAGGACTTTCTTAAGACCTTCCATATCGAAATATTGTAGTAAGTATTTGATTTGTATTCTTACAATATGTTACTATTTTGTGGAAAAATGAAATACTGGTTTTCTTTGTTTTTTTTAATTTTTTATTTGGTTTGGTTTGCATAAATTGTTGTTTCAGTCCAAACCATATTTGGTTTAGACAAACGAAAGTGGACGGATGTTTAGAATTGTTATCAAATTGAAAATCTTGAGTTTAAATTGAAAAAATTAAAATGGCAGAGTTTAATTTGTTAAAAGGGTTAAACCCTGAGGTTTTTTATTTATTGATATAATAAATAAAGTGACAAATCATTTGATAAACACATTTGATCGTCATAGTTTTACTATAAAAAAAGAAGAAAAAAAGAGAGAGAATTAGGTTAAAAAGGGGAGAGAAAAAGAAAACAAAAGGTATCAATCCTATGGAGCAATATTACATAGTATAAGCCAAACATATATAATTACATGGATTGTATAAAATATTCCCAAGATTCATTGATAATATCAAGTAATAGTTAATCAAGTTTAAT